ACACCACATTAACAAATTGAAAGATAAAAACCGTATGATTATCTCAATAGATGCAGAAAAAGCCTTTGACATTTTAACCATTTCTAAGTGTACCATTTAGTGGCGTTACATAAACACACATTGTTGTGCTACCATAAGCATCACTCACCTCCAGAACTTTTTCACCTTCCCAAACTGAAACTTTGTACCCATTAAAAATTAACTCCTCTTTCTCCCTACCTACTATCCCTGGGAGCCACCACTCTAATTTCTGTCTCTCTGAGTTTAACTAATTCAGAAAGCTCATAATACATGGAAGCATACAGCACTTGTCCTTTTGTGACTGGCTTGTTTCACATAGCATCTTGTCCTCAAGTTTCAACCATGTTGTAGCCTATATCAAAATGTACATTCTTTTTATTTATTTATTGGTTCGTTTCATTTAGTTGTTTGTTTTGGCTGGTCTGGAATCTTAGTTCTCTGACCAGGGATTGAACCTTAGTTCTCTGCAAGTCTCTTGCACTGGGAGCTCAGAGTCTTAGCCACTGGACTACCAGTGGCTAAGAAGTCCCATGTTCACCTGGGAAATCCCATACTCACCTGCATTCTTATGTCACATACAGTGTGTTTACTGCTTGGAAGTAAACTTGAGTAAAAGCGTCTTGACCCAGTTGCTTTTGCCCATGGTCTGGACTAGCTTACTCATGCCACCTCTTGTCCTACACATGCATACACATCACTTGTACATTCTAGAAGCTCTTGGAAAACCTTCAGAAGGAACCTGAACAGCCCATGTCTGTTTGTCATACACTGGATGCGTGCACTGTATTAAAGACCCTGCACTCATACTGGTGGGGTTTCTACCGAGCCCCTCACCTTACTCATCCTACCTCTAGAACCCAGGCCCCAAGCCACAGTAGCCCACACCCACTCATACAATCACATTTGTTTTTGTTTTTGTTTTTTTTTTACAATTACATATGTTGACTGAGCACTGACTTGTCCTGAGTGCAGACGCATTCAGGTGGAGGACAGCCCCTGTGCCTCCAAGAAGCTCCTAGTCTAATGGACGTTAAAGGACAGTAACAACCAGGGAGACAAGGACTATGAAAGCTGTCCAGGGAGCGGAGGGGCACCTACAGAACCTTGTGTCAAGGAAGCCTTCCTGGAGGAAGCAACGTGTCACCTGCTTTCGTAAACAGAGTAAACCTGGCAATAGAGAGGAGCGTGGTGATTAGTGGAGCAAGGCATTCTGTTTGCCGGGTAATTCACAAAAAGACTAGGATGGGAAAAGTAAGGGAGGGAGGGGCGGGCCACAAGCAATGTACACACTTGACAAATGTGTCAGAGGAAGAGAACGAAGATGGGGGCAGAGCAGACATTTGCCGGAGGACTTGTTTCACAGGAATCTGGGGGTTTAATCCAAGGGCTTCAAAGCCTGTGGGTGATCTGAGGACCACCCAGAACCCAAGATCTCAAGGAGTCAGATAAAAACATAAAAACTGGAAGGCTGGGCTCCACCCAAACCGACTGAATTCGCAGGGTCTGGATCCCAGGAACCTGCATCATTTCACAAGCACCCCAAATGGCTGCAGTGCAGCATCTGGTTGGAAAACGCTCACCCAAAGCTCTTCTGTGTCTCCAGTGTCTCTCCAGAGCGACCCCTGGTGATAGGGGACTGGCTCTCAGGGGCTCCTAAAAGGCACGGGATGATTCACTTTCATGGCCGTGGAGATGTTGACATAAACACTCCTGGTCAAACAGAGGGAGTTCTGGGAACCAATCAGAGGAGGATGCGGGGGAAGGAGGGAAGCAGGAGATGAGAAGGAATTTCTGGCAGGGGTGGGAGGAGGCAGGGACCTTTGGTTGGTTGTTTTTTTTGGTGGGGGAGGGGATCAGGTAGGAGATCCAGTTCAGGTACCTGCCAAACTCTCCCTAGGCCCCAACTCTCCCCAGGCCTCAAGGACAGGAGACAAAGAATCAAGGAATTAGATACTTTTTATTCCACAAACAGTAATCTCCACCTACCACACAGTGGTACACATATTTTAGCAAATCCTGTTACCCAGGCCGGTGCTGTCCAACAGAACTTTCTGCAGTGGTGGGAACATTTGTCCCCATAATGCCCAGTACAGTAGCCACTAATCACATGTGGTTACCGAGCACTTGAAATGTGGCAAGTACACCTGAGGAGATGCACTTTCAGTTTAAATTAATTTAAATTCAAACGCTATGTCTGACTCATGGCTACTGTCCTGAACAGTGCAGCTCTAAGTCTCGGGGATGGGGGGAGGGGAGATGCTTCAGGTTTGTCGGATGAGGCTGGCCAGCCACTTGGTCAGGCCACCTTTCTCGGCTGTTTGATATGGAAGGTGTGGGAGAATAGGCTGTAGGAAGAGCCACGGCACAAGACCACCACCATGCATGTGAGGCAGATGACGTTGTAGGCTATGCTGAAGTCCGACGTGGGCAGGCTTACCAGCAGGGGCTCCAAATAGAGCCTCACGAAATAGCTCCAGCTGTGGGAGACTCAAGCTGGGCATCAGGAGGGGCCAGTAAGGCGGGACCGGCTGCTTCCCTTCATCTCAACCCACCCCACCCCATCCCCTCTCCCTGACTGCACAGGGCCAATCTCAGAGGTGAGGGTTTTCAAGGCTTTCTTAGCCTCAAAGCCTTTTAAAACTCAAGACAGAAGTCAGGAAGATCCCCTGGAGACAGAAATGGCAACCCACTCCAGTATTGTTGCCTGGAAAATTCCACGGACAGAGGAGCCTGGAGGGCTACAGTCCAGGGGTTGGCACTTTAGCAGTGAAGTCAACATGGTTCTCAAAAGTACCCAAACCTGCTTATTGCTTAAGACAGACGCCATCATTCTGTTTCACAAAGAAAGAATCTGTGACTCACAGAGGTGAAGTGACTTGCCCAAGATCACACAACAACATAGCGAGTTACTGAAGCTAATCTGTCATTAATACCAAGTCATTTCATGATGCTACTATAAACTAATAGCTATTAATAAAAATTATCATGTGTTTATAGTATTACTATTACTTCTATCAGCTCTGACAGTCATTAAATGGTTATTCTGCCAGGATGTGGACAAAGCATTTAACACATACAACTTTTTTATTCTCATCAGACATTATGAGATTGCTAGAGAAAGAGAAAAGCAACCTCTGAGTGTCAATACCTGAGCTGGTACCACAATGGTCCTATGTTCTTCTGCTCAACATAAATATTTTACAAAATTTCAATACCAGATGAGGCCATTCTGTGCTTGTGAAAGATCTAGACTAAAATAGGACTTTCGATTACCATGTTTGAGCACTGACAAAAAGAGCTAAATTGCACAACGCACCAGTATGACCAAACACCTTCCTATCTTGAATGATTGCTACTTCTTGATCAAGTACAGCTCTCACCTCTATCTAGTCTCCCCTTATAGAGTTAAAATCAAGATACCCATTTAGAGATCTGTCCCACTTCTTCACAGCCTTCATCCATGTAAAAAAGATATGATTTTTTCCTATCAAAGGAGAATTTATAAGAAATAAAGAAGCGATTCATTCTTAGAATAGTTGAACAGAAAGGTATATAGCCTAAAATGGTGGCTAGTTGGCAATCCTTTGTTCTTTTCACTTCCTGATTTTCCTTCCTCACAAGAACGTTCTGGTGGGCTAATTTCGCAGGCTTTGTCCTGGACATGCACAGCAAAGAACTAAAAGGGTGGGGGAAATAGTTACTATAAGTCGTCCAATCAAAAATTTAGGCAACATCGAGAAAGACTGTAACTCTGTGACTCTCAGCCTATGAGGAGTCGGAGGAGGGAACCTGTGTTTTAGGAATAAAAACTGAAGGGACTTCCAGCTCTGTGTGCTAGCTCCCAGACCTTCCTCTGTAGCGTGCCCTTCTGTAGAAGTAAAGACTACCTTGCCGAGCCATTTTTGATTGTCTGTTCTATTCCTGCGACACAGTTTTGAGAGCATTTCCAACATCCAGAGCAAAGCCGAATTCCTGAAACCCTCCCCCAAATCACCTAACATAGCCCACATCCTGTAGGTTCTTCCTAACATTGTCTTAATGAGACAGCATATTGTTCCAAGATGATTCCTGTTCCTTGTTGCTGTGAGTAATAAACCCAACGGAGTTCAACTAGGAACGGGCGTTAAACTAGGAATGGGGTGTTTCTACTGGTCTCTGGCTAGATATATTAGCAAGTAAGATTGTTGTCCTTATATCCTTATTTATAACTAAAGAAAAGAGAGCTCAGAGATGCTGAGAAATTTGCCCAAGACTACATGGGAATAATAGCATCAGCACCATCTGTGTTCTTGTTTATTGCGATACTGTGCCTACTGTGGTCTCCATGGCTCACTTTACTCATCTGTCATGAAACAGACACTCTGTTTTCCCAAAGTGCCTCAGTCCTACATCTTCTCTGACACAGAGAAGGAAAACATCATCAACGTGCCTCTACTTGAGCATAGGAAGCTGCCATGTTAGGAAACGAATGCAGCAGCTATGTGGCATTGCTATGCCTCCATTTCCTCTCTTGAAGGACTCTTAGGATGGTTAATAGAATAATGCAGGCAAAATGCAGGCTAACGCAGAGCCTGGGGCACTAAAGGGTACTTGCTTTTCTTTAACTGAACTAAGAAGCCTCCTCTTCACAAGTCACCTCAGGGTATCGGATTCCTTAGAAAAGTGGACAATAGAGCCTAAGGCCCATTCTTCTTCTGAGAGCCCAGTAGGACAACTTGCCCCCAAATTTGGCTGAACTTAGAAGAAAGGAATAAAAGCTGTCATGTAGAGGTGTTTGTTTCCCAGGTTTTGTGTAGCTTGGGGGGCCTACTGAGAGGTCGATGATGCTATAATGGATTTGCTTCCTATACCCAATAGTGCACAGTCTGTGGACTGGGAAACAGGAGGTTCCCACTACTCTGCAGAACAGTGAGAAGGACCACCATTTCCATGGACTCTATTGGTTAAGGTTTGTAGTTGCAAACTCCAGTCAGTTTAATTTTCAATATGCATTTATTGAAATATAAGCCACAGTGGGTGAAGCCACAGAAAAGAAAATGCAGCAGCATTGTGGGGTCAAGGAGATTCTTTATCCCAAACTCTTCTTTCATGATTGATGCTGAAAATTGGAGGCTGGAAATTCCACGTTGGCCACGTACAAGGAGGGCAGTGATGGTGGGGAGGGGGTTGAAGGTGAGGATGCTGTGAGGAGGGGGGGTTAAAACAAAAATCCTGTCATAAAACCGCTGGCTCTGTAGTTACTCTGGTCATGCGGGACGTGTTTCTGCATCCCTTCCTTCCTTCCTCAAATAATTATGAACTGTCTCCTTAGCCAGGAACTGTGCTAAGTGCTAGGGATAAAGGGAAGACATGTTCTCATGGTGCTGACAGCCAACTGGATGAGACAGAATGAAGACATGTAGACCCATGGAGGAAACGAAATGGACAGGTCTGGCTGATGAGGGTAAAGGAGAGAACTGCGAGGAGACTGAACAGTTTCAGAAGCAGCCAAAGCCCAGTCCTGCAGGGGTCCTCCTCAGACTTCAGGATTCCTGGGGACCACTTTTTGCATGTTCTCTGCAAAAAAAAAGGGGAGGGGGGAGAAAAAAAGAACTTGCTGTGTGCCAACATTGTAGGTCCAGTCATGGAAGCCTGTCATCTTGACAGATCCTATACTTTCCAAAAAATATGGAGCTATGATCCTATGACCCGAATCACAAACAAGATGGAAGTGAATTTTCCAAGCTTAGGTAGGGTGCCCTGGAGCACTACAGACCTGCCCTGAAGGGTGGCTGAGTCAGTGTTCCCAAATGAGAAAGGGGAGCATGTGATCAGGCTGAGATGACCACAAAGAGGCATCTGGGGTTGACCTTCTGCCATTCTTTCCCTGGAGAACTTGCTCAGTGTGTGGTTTCACAGGACAGTGCAGCCTCTTTTCCTGGCAGCAGCGAGGAGGAGGACACTGCAGGGTGAATGGTGTGTGGCCCCCTGAGCTCCACCTCTTTCCCCAGCCCTTCCCCTCCTCCGGTGCCCTGCCCCCTGTCTTACCACAGGGACCCTGCCTCTTGACCGCAGGTCTTCATGCACTCCTCTTCTGTTACAAAGTTGTTTTTGTTCCCTCCGAGGCCGCCATATGTAAACGGCTCACAGTGACCGGTCTCAGCATTGTAGAAGTACCTGGGCCTCGAGGCCTTGCTGTGACCTGTTAATTTAGGCTCCAGGCAGAAGGCAGGCTTAGAATCTGCTGGAATGAGAGGGGAATCATCAGTTATGAGGATGGTTATCACAGCTCTTTAAGAGGTCAACAAGTAAAACCACCAGTTTGTTTGGAATAGAGAATGTTAGGGTTGTGGGGGATGGTCAAATTGAAGAGCCCATTTGAAAACCTCTTTCTGGAACATAATTATGACTGTTGCTAAGCATGACATGATACAGTTGTAGTTGTTCATTGACTCAGTCATGTTGGACTCTTTGCAACCCCATGGACTGCAGCCAGGCTTCCCTGTCTTTCACTGTCTCCTGGATACAGTATTCATGTACAAATGTATACTTTCTCATGAAGTACCAAGCAAAATTGGGATAATGCCTTTGATTAGCCTTAAAACTTCTATAAGGCTTTCCTGGTGGTCCAATGGTTAAGAATCTGCCTTCCAAGAAAGGAATTCTGGGTTCAATCCATTGTCAGAAAACTAAACCCCAAATACTGTAGGCACTAAGTTGGTATGCCATAACTACTGAACCTGGGGTCTGCAACTAACTAACTCACCCCAATAAATACAGAAATGCTCAAAAAGAAACCCCACAACTCTACAACATAAACAGGTCACAGGTATTCCTTACATGTCAATAATTACTGGGTCTGGATGCCTGAGTTTTATAATACTACTAATATTCTCTGTACTTATGTGTATGGTTATTAATAAAATTTTAATAAAATTGAATAAAATTAATCATTAATAAAAATTTTGAAGGAATCGTGCTATAATAGAAAAAGGCATGAAGAAAACATACCTCTGTGTTTACTTTGGTTACCTCAAAGGGATTCTATAAATTGAATGTTGATACTATTGATACTGTGATTGTAAGAAGAAATGTACGTATTTGTTTTTTCATCTTTTTCCTGACACTGTTCCTAAAAATCTTAGTATTTGTGATGTGATGAGAACAATAAAAGTGTCTTTTGGCATGTGAAGTTGATGAGTTTGGAAGACCCTCATGAGCCCAGAAAAGTGAAAAGTGAAAGTGAATTTGCTCAGCTGTTTCCGACTCTTTGCGACCACATGGACTGTAGCCTACCAGGTTCCCCTATCCATGGGATTCTCCAAGCAAGAATGCTGGAGTGGGTTTCCGTGCCCTTCTCCAGGGGATCTTCCTGACCCAGGGATTGAACCCAGGTCTCCCACATTGGCAGGCGTGTTCTTTATCACTAACACCACCTGGGAAGTATTAATAATCATTATATGGCACCTAAATATACTTTCTTACTCAAAACAAGTAGGTAGAGAAATTGTTTCCAGATTAAACTTCTTGGTGGAAAATGCCCAAAATTCACCATGAAATGTGATTCAAATCTTTATATTCATGACTGGTAATCTCTTCAAAAACCCATATAACATGCATCCCCTGTTCAGATGAGAAAATTGCAGATGTCTTGCCTCCGGACATGGCATGTGAGTGGCAGGGCCAGGACAAGATACTCTAGAATTACAACTCATCTGATACACTACCTGATTCTGCCAGGAAATCTGGAAAAATAGATAACTGAGAACAGTTTCTGGATGCAATGTCCTACTGTCATTGCTCCCCCTTTTTAGAGCATCTCTGAACCTCTGAATCACAAGGGAGAATGAGTCTGGGTTTTTCCCAGACAACAAATATATACTGTCCCTACAAACACAAACCAATTTCCCAAACACCCATTGGGTGTCCAGCTAGTCCGTTTACTTCTGATTTGAAATTCGTGGAGTTACTGCAGATTCTGCAGGTTACGGGCTCAAGATTGTCCTCAGTTCAGATGCTAGCCATGAGGTCCCGAGTCACTCATGCTTGTGACTAAATGGCTAAAATCAGGGAATCCATGTCCCACCTTCAAATTCAACAACTAAATAGAATCTGCAGCTAAACTTAGGAAAACCTTGCTTACTCTTCCCAGATTGATATACAAAATATAATTCAAGGCAGTAAAGTGGAGGAGATGTGTAGGATAAGTGGGGGTGGTGGTGTGCCCAGCCTCTGTCCCCTAGTGAGCAGGACACCCTTCCATTATCTTCCAGTATTCACCAACCCACAAGCTTCCTGACCCCAGCATTTATGTATTTCTTTCTAGATTTCACTAAACATAGTGGTCGGATCATTAGCCATTGGTGATTGCTGTCACTGTCAGTGACCTTTCCTCTCCCCAGAGGTGCAGAAACTACAAACCTTTATTCTCTTCTTTGAGCATTTGTGTTGGGGACACGTCTACTGTATGGTTCTCCAGTTGCCTTCCAGAAATCATCATCTGACCTATGAAAGAGCAAATTACAAGAGTTTCCAGGAGGCCTGGTCCATGAAACAGGGAAAGGATCAACATGGATAAGAAAATAACAGTCAAAAAAGGACAAGGGAAAGGGCCTGGAGACTTTTGTAATATTGTACCAGCTTTGGTCCCACAGCCCACTACACAAGGGCTGTTTCTTGCTCTCCCTGAAGTTGCTTTCCTCCGTGGTTCCACATCTTTTAATTAGTTTTTAATAATAGAGGAATATCATTGCTTGATAAGTGAATATTTTTGTTTGTCCAAAGCAAGTAGGTAGAGAAATGCTTTTCAGATCAACATATTGTGGTGGAAAATGGAAAAACCTGGCCATCAAAAGTGAATAAACTTTGTATTCATGACTCGTCATCTGTTCAAAGAACTCATGTAACATGTTTTCCCTGTTCATATGAGGAAACTGCAAATGACTTGCCCCAGCACACAAGCATGTGGGTGGACTCATCAGGACAAGACACTGTCAGGTCACAACCCATTTGATACGCTACTGATTTGCTAGGAACTTGAAAATAACAAATAACTGGTAAGAATTTCTGGGAGTAGTTCCTACTTTCACTACTCACCTCTCCCCAAGCCTCATGTGAGCCATCAAATCACAGGGGAGGGTGAGTCTGTTTTTTTCCTGACAAGAAATACATGATTTCTCCACAAACACCATCTGATTCCCAATACCCAATGGGTGAACTGCAGTCAGCTGACTTTTGATACCGTATCTGTGGAGTTAGTGCTGATGCCACAGGTTGAGGCATCAATATTGTCCTGACTTCAGATGTCAGCCATATGTTCTCGAGTCACTCATGCTCTTGACCAAGTGACTAAAAGTGGGAGTTTCCATGACCTCACCTCAATGCTCAATGACAATAGAACAGGCGAACGAACTCAGGAAGACTCTTACTGTTCTAAGGTTAATGTACGGGATAAAACTCAGGAACCATGAAATGGAGGAGATGTTTAGGGCAAAGGAGGAGTGGAGGTGGGCAGAGCCTGCACAGCCTGGTGAGCACAGCACCCTCACATCACCACCATTGGTTTCTACCTCATAAGCTCTCTGAGACTATATTGATGGATTTTTGTTTTGTTTTTTGTTTATGTTATATATTTTTATTTTATTTATTTTTTAATATAAATTTATTTATTTTAATTGGAGGCTAATTACTTTGCAGTATTGTATTGGTTTTGCCATACATTGACGTGAGTCCTCCATAGGTATATTGAAGGAATTTTTATTTAGGTTTCACTAAATAGACATATTTATTAAATCATTGGCCAGTGGTGACCAATCTCAATCTCAGTGCCCTCCCTTATCCCCACAAGTAAAGAAAGTTCAAACCTTTACTCATTGTTTGAGCCAATCCTTTTATTTCATCGAATCCCATTCCTTTAAAAAGCTCGGCAACTATAAAAGACAAAAATTGCAACATTTTCAGGAGTCTTGGATCATGAACCAGGAAAGGATCAAACATGGATATAAAATGATAGTCAAAAGTGGACAAGGGAAAAGGCCTGGAGATTTTGCTAATATTGTATCAACCTTGGTCTCATGAACCAGTTATGCAAGGGCTGTGTTTCATGCTCTCCCTGCAGTTACTCTGCTCAGGGGTCCCAGGTCTTTCTGATTAATTTTTATAATAGAGGGATAATCATTATTTGACACATAAATATACTTTCTGGTCCCCAGGAAGTAGGCTGAGGAATTTTTTCAAATGTACATATTGTGGTGGAAAATGATCAAATTGACCATGGCATGCAAATAAACTCTTTATATTTATGTGTGGAAATATGGTCAAAGAATCCATCTAGCACATACCTGCTATTCAGATGAGGAAACTGTAGATGACTTGTCCCAGAACACACAGCATATGGGTGGCAGGGTTGGGACAAGAAATTTCCCTGTCTCAACTCATTTGATATACTATGTTATTCTGCCAGGAACTCTGAAAATATCAATAATTTGTGAGAGTTTCTGGGTGCAATGTGCTATTTTCATTACTCCCCTTCCCAAGACTCTTACCAACTCCCAAAGCGCAGGAAGAGTGAGTCTGGGTTACCCTGACACCAAATATGTGGTATCTCCAGAAAGAAATCCAATACCCCAAACACCCACTAAGTGTACAACAAGTCAATTTACTTCTGATATGAACAGAAGGAGTTAGCACAGATTCTGCATGTTGAGGGCTCAAAGCTTTCCTCAGTCCAGATGACAGCGAAGTGGTAGTGATTTGATAAAGTATCTAAAACACAGAAGTTTCATTACCCCACTCCATGTTCAATAACTCAGTAAATCTGATGACCAAATTCAGGAAGACCACTCAAATACAGATCTCACATTATTATAAAGGATAAATCTAGGCACAGCAAAATGAGTGAGATGTGCAAGGCAAAGTGGAAGTGTAGGTGTGGGGAGTCTCCACGCCCTAGAGAACACAGGGCCCTCAAATCACCACCGTGTGTTGCCACCTGAAAATCTCTCTGAATGCCCATATTCATGGATTTGTATTGAGGTTTCACTAAACAGATATAGTGACTGAATCATTGGCCAGTGGTGACTGCTCTCAATCTCAGTGCCCTCTCCTCTCCCCAGAGGTTCAAAAAGTTCAAACCTGCAGCCACAGCATCGATGAAAATTGAAACCAAATCTATTAGTGAACGCTTCTCAAGTCTCCTTCTATGGCTTGTCTCCAGACCTATGGAAGACAGTAAATTCCAGGAGTTTCAGGAGGCCTGGTCCATGAACCAGGATAAGGATCAAATATGCATAATAAAATAATAGAAGTGAACAAGGGATAGGACAAATATGTATAATAAAATAATAGTCAAAAGAGGACAAAGGAAAGGTCCTGGAGACTTTACTAATATTGTATCAGCCTTGGTCCCAGGGGCAAACCCACACGGGGCTGTGTTTCTTGTTTTCTCTGCGGTGGCTCTGCTTATTCATCAGGCCTTCTGGTGGTTTTTCATAATAGAGGAATAATCATTATTTGAACCTAAATATCTTTCTTGCCCAGAGCAAGTAGGTAGAGATTCCACCAGATGAACACATCTTGGTGGAAAATGCACAAAATTCACCATGAAATGTGAATCAACTCTTTATATTCATAACTGGTAATCTGTTCAAAACCCCATACAACATGTACCCCCCCTTCAAATAAGAAAATTGCAGATGACTTACCCACATGGCATGTGGGTGGAAGGGCCAGAACAAGATACTATCATGTTGCAACCCATTTGATACACTACCTGATTCTACCAAGAATTTTGAAAATACAGATAACTGAGAACAGTTTCTGGGTGCAATGTCCTACTTTCATTACTCCTGCCTTCTGAACATCATCTGAATCCCCAAATCACAGTGAATCTGGGTTTTTCTCTGACAACGAATATGTGATATCTTTACCTACAGCAACCAGTTTCCCAAACACCCACTGGGTGTCCAGCAAATCAGTTACTTCTGATTTGAAATCTGTGGAGTTACTGCAGATTCTGCAGGTTGAGGGCTCAAGACCATCCTCAGTTCAGATGCCAGTCAAGAGGTTCAGAGTCACTCATGCTTGTGATCAAATAGGTAAAATCGGGGTATCCATGACCTCACTTTCAAATTCAACAGTGCCATAGAACTGCCTGCTAAATTTTGGAAAGTGCCTTGCTAACTATCCCCAAATTAATATACAAAATATAACTCAAGCAAGTAGAATGGAGGAAATGTATATGACAAAGAGGGAAGGCGGTGTGCCCAGCATCTGTGCCCTAGTGAGCAGAGCACCCTCATGTCATCTACCTGTATTCACCAATCCACAAGCCCTCTGAGGCCAGTATTTATGTATTTCTTTCTAGGGTTCACTCAACAGGCATAATGGTTGGATCATCTGCCATTGGTGATTGATGTCACTCTTGGTTCCCTCCCCTGGGCTCAGAGGTGCTAGCATGAGAGGTGGTGAAAACTGTAACCTCAAAATGGATATTTGAGGTTTCTTGGAGATCAGCTGCATCTTGAGGTTACCTTGAGTCACATTTTTTACTCTGCCTATAAAGTCAGTAAATTCCAAGAGTTTTAGGAGACCTGGACCATTAACCAAGAGAAGGATAAAATATGCAGCTTTTTATTACTACACTACAGTGAGGTTCAGGGACAAGGCAGGGACAAGGCAGGGACAAGGAATAGAGAGTCTTAGAAATGGGGTCCCTGATCTAGTAGACGTGGGTGGTATATATGCATATTTAATATAAAATTTTAATATACATCCTCATGAGAATCGTGATGTCAGTGGAGATAAAAGTTTGCAAATTCAGACTTCCCCGGTGGTCCAGGAGATAAGAATTGGTCTGCCAGTTCAGGGGACATGAGTTTGATTCCTGATTTGGGAAGATTCCACATGCCTTGGGGCAACTAAGCAGGTGAACTGCAACTACTGAGCCCAGATGCCTAGAGCCCCTGATCTGCAACAAGAGAAACCACCACAATGAGAAGCCCACACACCACAATGAGAAAGGAACCCTGTAACTAGAGAATATTCTCGCAGAGGGAGGAGGGTCAGTGCTGCCAAAACCAACCAGACAAACAAAAATCCTGGCCAATGTGACAGGAGAAATCCAGAGAGGGTTGGAAGCACCCACCTCACACCTGCCCTCCCCCTTCCATGGACTTCCATCATTTCCTGAGAACCTGTAGAGGAGAGGTGAGTCCGGACCTACCTTGGTCCTGGGTATGGTGTTCATACACCGGGGTGCTGTCCACCAGGATAACCAGGAGGAAGAGTAGGGCTGTGGAGAGGCGGAGCTGGCTCATCTTTGTGGCCTTGCAGGAAGGCTCCTGAGGATGCTGGGGACGGACTGAGCTTTTAATATCCTGGCTGAGGGGTGGGGTCAGGCAATGATGAGGGGAGTGGGAAAGGGGAGGAGCTGGGTCAGTCTTGTTTATTGCAAAATCTCCCTCCAAGGCATGCCTCCTGCTTCTGTCTGCAGGGCCAAATGTCCAGTAACAGCAGTTCTCAGATCTGACTATGGCTATGGTCTCATGTAAATACAGATTGTGATCAGACAGATGCAGTTTTGTCCAATATGATCCCTCAGGGAGCGTCCCAGCACCTACAGTAGTGCATGTCACACAGTGTATGGTCAGTGGGTGGATGAGAGCAAATCACAAGACATATGAGTGAGAAGTAATATGTTAGCCCAGGTCCTCCTTTTCAGCCTCATGCAGGTGTCATCACATCTGGGCCTCAATGCTCTGACCCCCCTCACCTACCTCAAATGACAGGTGTGACACAGGTCACCTTCCTACAACCACTGCCCCAGCTTCTCCACTGGATGGACATTTGCCCTTCACCAGCCATTGGGTCCGGGCAGGAACTTAGCTGGAGAAGGTGATTTCTCTCTGGCGTATAAGCCTGTTTATGCATTGGAAAAGCAATAGGGGGAGGGGGCAGAGGGGAATCGGTGAGATGAAGGTGTCTTCACAGCATAACCAATAGCTGCTCCTCACATAGTTTCACAAACAGGAGAGCTGCCTGCCTAAATGGACCTCAGGGGACCTTGGATGATCACCTGGAGTCACCCCCTTACTCCTGTTCTCTCCCTCAGTGGTTTTGGGGTCACATAACCTCAGTGTGGGGGCCACCTCTGCATTTTCCTAACTTTGTCCCTGAGGATTTAAATCTCCTAGAATCCTGTGTCTTCAGGTATCACGTGAGATCAGTGCTGCCCACATCATGTGGTTGCTGTGGAATCGGTGGATGCAACAGGCATATATTCCTTCTGAGAAGTCAATGTCCTTTGCAGGGTTAGTAATAACAATAATGAGTAATTACTCCAGGTAAAACTTAAATTCTTCATTGTGGCCCGTACTATCCTAAGCACCTGACACATATAATTCACTCAATCCTCAAAAATCTTTAAAGAAAAGGGGAGAAACTGTTGATATGTCCTCACATTACCTAGGAAGTACCTGAGATAACAAGAAATAAAGTAATTTCCTTAGCTTATAACTTGTAGAGAGAGGATTGGACCCAGAGATCTGACTTTAAAGTCTGCGCATATGCAGTCTGCTGCATTGCAAGCTGTAAAGTACTGCACATGTGTGAGGGGTGGTGCTGGTGTTTAGTCGCTCAGTCATGTCCAACTCTCTGAGACCCCATGGGCTGCAGCCCATCCTCTACCCCTCTGTGGTGCTGCCTCCTGTCTTAGGCCAGGCCCTGATAGCACCACTGTGGGTCAGGATGGTCCTCCCTCACATCCTGACATTGTTCTTCTTTGCTTTGAAGCTGCCAGATACAAAGGACTCGAAGATCCCAGACTTGGTGTTATAGATGTATCTGGTTATTTTAACCTTGCAGGGATCTGTGTGTGGAGACTGCAGGCAGAAGTCAGGCCACAGGGCTGTAAAGGTGAGAGGATCTTGGTCCAATAGAGGATGGTCATCACTGTTTGGTCTATAAAGTGAACAAATGAAACCAATTTGTTTGTAATAGAGATGGTAGGGGTGCAGGGGTGTGAATGTGGAAAGGCCCTTTGATATCCTCCTGTCCAGGGCATTATTACCAATGTTTTTAGGCATCACAGAGACAGGATAATGCTGCAAATAATTACATATTGTTGCTGAATATCTATAGACTAATTGGCATAATGCCACTGACTAGCTCCAAAAGAACAAAAATGGAGGATGCGTATTAGGAATATTCTCCACATGTTGATAATGATTAGAGCTGGACAATGGTCTGTGGGTTTATAATACTATTTTCTGGATGTGTGTGATAGAAACTTTTCACCATTACAAAATAAAGTGTGAAGTCAGATAACCAACAAGACCTATTGTATAGCACATGCAAAGCCTCTCAGTGCTGTGTGGCATCTTGGATGGGAGGAGAGCTTTGGGGAGAATGGATACACCTATATGTATGGCTGAGTCCCTTTGCTGACCTCCTGAAACTGTCACAATATTGTTAATTGACTGTACTCCAATGCAAAATAAGCAATTAAAAGAAAAAGTGGGAAGGCATTATCCTGTACTAGAGAAACACATGGAAGAAGAGCCATGAGTGTGCTCACTTTAGTTACATCATGGGCGCTGGAATAATGGAATATTGAGGCAATATTGACACTGTGACTTATATCAGAAATTTCCTACTCATTCTATGAGGCCACCATCACCCTAATTCCAAAACCAGACAAAGATGCCACAAAAAAAAAAAAAACTACAGGCCAATATCACTGATGAACATAGATGAAAAACCCTTAACAAAATTCTAGCAAACAGAATCCAACAACATATTAAAAAAATCATACACCATGACCAAGTGGGCTTTATCCCAGGAATGCAAGGATTCTTTAATATCCACAAATCAATCAATGTAATACACCACATTAACAAATTGAAAGATAAAAACCATATGATTATCTCAATAGATGCAGAAAAAGCCTTTGACAAAATTCAACA